GGATCTCTTCCTCGCTGTGTCTTATTTACACACCATGGAATGCTGTTTGTTAATTATTTGATATTTCATACATGCTCGAGATAATATTCTCATGCGCAAGCACATTAAAGCACCAGGAAAAGACGGTCTCACCCATCCAGAGCCGACAACCGCGTGAACGCCTATGCAGCCCACGAATTTTACATGTTTTCGGCCTGGAAACTCCAGATGAAATAAACTACACAATATGTATCCGATTAAAAGAAATTCATTTGAGACCCGAAGAATAAGGATGTAGGACATGGGAATGACAACAGAAATTAGAACTAGACAAATTCAATTATGTTTAAGAGCTTTATATTTTAACCCGCTTAATATTTAATAAGTAGTGCCAAGCGCAGCGAGAAATGAGCGGTAAACTTTCATTAACTATGTTATTTTACCCCGAGGTAATCCGGTCCGCCTGTCATGTAATTGTTCCGTACTTTTTTTTACTCGAATATACGAAAAACACATCCTTTCCCCCCTACTTTGTGTGTGGCCATTTACACACACACACACACACACACACACACACACACACACACACACACATATATATATATGTGTGTGTGTGTGTGTGAGAGAGAGAGAGAGAGAGAGAGAGAGACATTGTGTGTATAGCATATTGTAATAAAAACGCACTACATCCACTTTAAACGCACTATTACTTATCTAAGCCTTTTTATATTGTACCATCACGGGTACTTTAAGGCTTCCTCAGCAACTTATCATTTATTATTCAAAAGCGATGTCAGAAGCTCTCGGAGCTGAATCCGGCTCTTCCTTTAGACAGGATCGGTTAAATTGGTATCAGCAGACGCACGCAATAAAAACTGCGCCCCGGGCTAACACCCGGATCCCATTATGCAGATCAGGTGTTTTTTTCCACCGACAAATCGTTTTCTCTTATTTATTCTATGTATTCTCCCTAGAGAGTTAGGATTTCACGCATTTAATGTATTTGTCCACAGACCCACTCTTGTTTACTGATTCGTCCCGGTTTCCGCAAATAAATGCGCTGCCTTTCACCTTAGCAAAGCAACCTATCATACACTTCGAAAAGGCACTTAATATATTAGATATTACACGTAACAACCTTTGAGAACAATAAAAATCAATCGCTGTTTGTAGTTATACCGCTCAGTATCATATTAAATATCAGACAAGTGTTGTACACTTATATCTTATTGTTTAGCCGAGTCACTTCCCGCTTGTACCCGAAACACAACTCGGGCATAGAATCCAGTTAGGGTAAGGTATTTACGGGAAAACAGGCAATTACTTTGGATTATATACAGAAAATATAAGAAAGTCAGTTTGTCCATATCGCTGGACTACAGCAGGCAGCCAATCTATGCCTCCAACAACCGCTTATCAAACGTAGGCCTGTAGGGTCGTGGGCAGAGAAGTTAGAGGTAATTATAACGTTATAACACGACTTAAGGGAAGTCTAAAGCGATACACGTGAATTAAGCACGTTAAGGTAAATAGCGCTTATTTAGATTATTTAATTCAGGTGTTTGTAATAAAGGATTTATATGAGAGATTAAACGATTACTAAATTAAGATGCATGTGTTTACACAGCTCGACTTTAAATCGACCATACTCGATTATCTCTCTTTTAAGACGAATGGCTTCTAGGGGTTTGTCTCACAGTGACAATTGTTTGTGCACAAACTTGGTGAGACTAAGAGCTGAGTCAAAGGCGCGGTATAAGACCTGGAAGAATTACGGCAAAAACTGATTGTGAAGAAATATTAAACTATGAATAACATGAACCTGAACCTATTGTAGTTCTTGCCACACTAAATGCTTTAAGCCAATTGAGCATGACTGGGCTTAATAACAAAATCTTAATGTCCTTTATGGTAGCCTAGACGGTAAAAAGGAGGGCTTAAGGCTGAGGGAAAGGAGGCAGATTAAGATTTAAGGTGGGTGAGAACAGACTGAGGCTAAGGTAGCGATAGCAGGCTTAGGCTGAGAATAATAAAAGGAGGGACATGAAGACTGTGACTGCCGAGCTACTGGCGGTGTATCACCGTTACAGGTAAAAGGATTCTGGGAAAGTAGCTGAAAAGTGACCTTATCGTCGGAAAATTGAGTGTTTGAGCATAACAGTCAATTTCTTAAAGTATGAATTACTGAAAAGCGAAGGATAGTCTTGGCTTCAGCTCTGGATAAGTGCAGGTAATTGAGCGTGACTATCAAGCTAAAATGGATGTAATCCCTTTTGCTCAGCTGACTACAAGTAATGCCTTAAGCCCACTTTGCACGGCAAGGGTCTCTTGAGGTACCGCCGTTCTGTATGTGCATCTGATTGAATTACACCCAGCAGCAGAAAATGTGTTCCAAGCTAGACGGATCTGGTATAATTTTGTGCAGCCCTGTGAAGAGCCACCAGGCACAGATCTTTCTGTATGACAAGAATACCAATAAATAGCTGCATAGCTGTATACATCCACCTGCTCTAGGATAGTTATTCATGGGCTCCGTTTTCATCATATATAGGATGTAATTATACACTTGGATAATTTGAATTGTATTGCTTTCACAATAATATTACAATCCATTTTGTTCTAAAATGTATACCTATTTAAGGCTGTTGTACTGACCAACCGATATTTACGTGACATCACAACATTGCAACTTCGTGTGTGAAGTCTGTTTGCAGATTTAAATTTATGTCGAACACAACCATTGTGTGCTGAGCTCCCATTCTAACTGTGGATAAAACAAGAATCCATAAAACACGTCTATATAAGGCTTTTTCTTTTCTTTTTTAATACCATAGAGCATAAATATGACCAAGCAAAAAAAAATGGTCAGTAAAAAATGACAGGCGTACTGATACACTAGGATTTAAAAGAAAGTCAAATATGAAATAATACATATATTTGAGCATTCACTGCAGATTAACCTTTAAATATAGATGTTTTTATTTTGTTTTAATTTATCTCATATTTATGTTTAGAATATTTATTGTTTGTTTTATTTTTTCATTTTGCATTGTCCACTTCTGATAAATATTTCTAAAGCTATATGTTATCCATTTATGGTGCTACATTTTTCATTCTCGTTGATGATACTTGAAATTTTTTTGACTATTTCGAAAATATTCGTATTTTCTTGTGTTAATCATACTTTTAAAATAATTTCGTTCATTGAGATGCTGAACTAGGTTGTATTAAAGGTATGTTGTCATAACTAATACATATACCGTAATATTAAACATTTTGAAGAATCTGCGATGACTCTAGAGGAAAAAGCGTTGGCCCTAACACAGCACAAGATTAAATTTCAGTTTAAAACACCTCATCTTCCAAAATATGTATGCAGTTAGCATGTTTAATCGTACTGAATCATCCACGAATCAAATGGTATTATATTAAATATTTTCGTACCTAATTATTAATAGTGATTAAAAACGAACGTCGGCTTGTAGAATGTGTAGGCTGTCATTGATGTGCGGAGGGTTTAAACTGGCTGCGCGTGCGGCGTGTTGTCCTGGCGGCAGACCCGGTGATGGAGCCAGTTACAGGCTCTGTTTCATTCCGGCGCTCCAGGTTGTGAGTTTACGGGTTTTGAGCATCGTTTAATTTCCCACATCCTGTTGCCTATAGGGTGTATCCGGAAGCTTTTATATAAGCTTTTACGTCAAGATTGTAAATAGCCCACTTCTTCATGGGTGTCATAACATGAAAGAATAATTAGCAACAATTAGACATGATATTAAAAATAAATAACCAGTTTATAAATGAACATGTATTAAACTATATAATGAGGCTAATGAAAAAGATTCTTTGAAAAAAATAGCGACCAAAAAAAGTACCCAGATTATTTTAATGAGACTTTTGGCGTAGTCATTTTATTACTTAATTTAAACTGTAGATTAATTAATTTGTCAATTTTATGATTTTCTTTTAAAATCGTATGGAAAAATGCACGTTTTTGGCCTGCTCCTTTTTTTGCGGGTTTTACAGTGTACTTAATTAAAATTCTATCCCCGCAACCAGAATCTAGCAATGGTATGTGCTACTGACCTTTATCCAGTTCCGTACCACGTCCCAGATTATTGATAACTAAATCACAACGCGTTATTTAGGGGTGTCTCTTTGCAAGAAAATAAATGCAAAAGGAATGAAATCTTTACATGCGCATAGGCGTTAACGATGATTTCTTTACGGGGAGTATTAGTGCAGAACCCCCAGACTGTCATATCGAGACTCTCATCACAATGTATAAAACTAAACAATGAAATCAATAAAATGAGTATGAAAGAGAATCCTTGCTATTAACAAGCTATCTTCAACCCTCTAAATGAAGGTTTAAAATGCTGTTAATTTTTAAAGCATATTCGTTTACATTTATAAAATACATACACATTAGTGTGTAAATTTTGATTTAAAAATTTGTGGTGAGTCAAACGCTGTTGTGGATTAGTTCCATGTGACCAGAATGTTCCTGGTCCAAACACGACAGTGTTCCCTCTTATAGAAGATAGACTTATAGATTTAGGAAATATTCACTTGGGAAAACAGTTTTAAACCAGTTTTTATAAACGAAACGTGCTTAATCTAGGATGAAGGAAATTGACACATATTTTGTTATATCGTTGTATAGTATTACAAAATATTAATCTCTTTTAGTCATGCAAAGAAGAAATTCCTGAAATTTGTCTACTATAGAAACCGATTCCTATTATCAGAAAGACGATAGTTATACTAAAACAAAAAAAAATGCACTACACTGCGTCCAGATTAAGTATGTTTTAATAAATCCACTTTGGTGTCGGCTGTTAAATTATACTGAAATGCTCATTAAGATAACAGTTGGCTTTACACAAATCCTTGGTTAAATGGCAACCAGTCACATGAAGGTTTTTTTGTCGACCAATGGGAACACAGTATCATGATTTGTTCCAGGGAGGGGTAATACGGGATCCGTCCCGCAAAAGTGGGATCATCTCGCCAAACTTTCACTGGCCTCCCCGAACTGCAGATGGATGATTCCGCGGGAGGCTCAAGGGAGGGAGTCCGGAAGACATTTGGTTCGATAATTTGCAGAACGACAAAGCACCAGGAACCAAGAAACGGAATTTTAAGTGGTAGATGTTGTTTTCTGAATTCCCCTTAAGTGGTCCTACAGGCACCCATTCAATTTGACTCCTCTATTCTGGTATTGTGTCGATTTTCAGGAAGAGCAGATAGAAGACTGGAAGTGGGAATGGAGAAGGATCCTAGCAATGCCCCTAATCGTCACGGCCCGGTTCCCCAGACTGTCCAGCACGAACCCATTAGCTTCGGAATCGACCAGATCCTCAGTGGTTCGGATCAAGATAGTTCTCACCAAAACGGCCCTCGGAGCGATTTGGATACTAGCAGTCGCACCGGTGGCGGAAGGTACCGCATTGGCAGCCCCGCTGGCGGGAGCGCGGCACCTCACCCCGCGCTATCCGGCGCCTTTTCCGGACTCACCGCACCTTTCGAGGAATCAGGACCGTACAGCGTGAGTCTGACCCTGGCTCCTGGTGGTGTGATTCGGGTACCTGCACACAGACCTCTAACTGCCGCTGTTCCGCCGCCCATGGCCAGCGCCATGCCTGGTTTCGGAAGTGTCAGTTTCCCGTGGATGGAGGCCAGTCGCAGGTTCGCCAAGGACAGGTTCACAGGTAAATACATTTATACTGGTATTGATAATGAAACCAGCAAGAAAGGAGAATAAGAAGACTGCTGAATTTAAGTGCAGTTAACCAACTTTTAAAGTATTGCATATTTTCGTCTGTGTGTGTCTTGGTAAGAATATCGATTTCTACGGCATGAATACTGAATGTTTTGAATATGTAAGCGATGCAAAATATTTCCAACACAAATTACTGCTCATTTAACAGTTTGTTGTTGTTCTTTTACAGTAAATACTTCCCACTAAAAGTGCGCGGGAAAACTTTGACAAAAAAATAAATTGCGTTTTAACGTGCATGATTAAGTCTGGTAAACTATTTCTATGTAAAGCCGTATCTAAGCAATTTATAGGCCTAAGTACACAATGAAAATACGGAATATTTCGAAATTATTGTTTTACATAGATCTGTGCTATACATCGCAGACAGCAGTAGCAAATGTAATAGAAGAAATAATAATACAGCAAAATACATTTCTCAAAGCAACTAACAGCCTCATGTCGAATGACTATCGTAATACACGAAACACGCATTGTAACTAATTTTGTAGCAAATATTCAGCAGTTTTAATAGATGTTTGTTACTTAATGCTTCTTAACACCTGAACTTTAATTTTAATTATAATAACTTGGACTGTAAATTACGAAAAACAAATAACCTATTTTCTTTAACACATCAACAAATCAAAGAAAACACAAAGCATTAACAATCTGCTATAATAACGTAATGTTACAATATAGATAAACAAATGACACATTTAAAAAACTGGTGTTCTGATGATACAAAACAGGCAACATCGGAAACAAACAAAACTGCTTTTAAAAAGAAAACCTTGAGCAACGATATTTATTACAGCATTGATTGCTACATGTAACAACATGTGGCAAGTTATTGCGCTGACATTATTGGATAGTTACCCTCTCGCTGATCTACTGAAGGCCAAAAGTCAATAAGACGATGGATTTACTTCGTCTCTTACGACTACAAATGATTTTAGAATTTAAACCAGTAGTCAGGACACCTGTTTCCGAATAACGCATTCAGATTCACACACTCAAACGAGTACAGCTTGATATTTTTCTCGCTAGATGCGTTGTATTTTAAAATGTCGTTTTTAGATTACCCGACATTGAGAAATATTTCCCTTAAAACTATTCCTGAACTACACTTTCAAACAATTTTCTCGGTTGAAATACATATAGCATAAAAATACAAAAAAAATATATACCTTTTTTTGCATGATTAACGTATTAATTGACATCACTTTCAGAATTTTTAATTAGTTTCCAACCTAAAATGGATAATTCAGGGCACGACGTTTGGCAGTAATTATGTAAAATGAGCCGCTGATAAAATACTTAGATACATCATTGTCGTATCATTTGCATAGCATGGGCCTATAAGGTTCTGAAAATCCTTTTCATTGTTTTCCCGGATGATTTTTTTGAGTTTCAGCATATATCTCAATTATTATTACTTTTTTATCAGTAAGGGCAAATTGCATATTCAAAATACTGATATCTATGGATATCACATAATGAATTCGTTCTTGGGTATTTTTCCGTCGTTTAACCGAATATCTATATTAAAAACATCATAAAATGTCTAAAGACATTAATATAATAGCTTTCAATTCGGTTAACAATGGACGAAAAATGAGACGTCTAATTCTTTTAAAACGTATGAATAACATAAAAGTCGCATGCCACATAAGCAATTGAAACGAAAACTGACGATTTTGTTAGCTTTGTTAGCAGAATTATATTTAACTAAAATTAATTAAGTCATTATTAACTGGATTTAGATTTTTGTTAGACATGTTCGAAGGCAATTTAGGAAAAAAATCGGCGATTTGATTTCATTTACAGCTGTTAGGAAAAATCCTTGCTTTATGATATTGATGTTTTTTTTTGTTAAATCACCTCAGTTAAACTTCAAATTTCTCGTAATACACACACACAAACACAAACTTTTCACGTCCTAGAACATGATATAGTATGGTTTTCCAAATAAATAGCTTATTTACCGGGGAAAATACACTGCGATGTGGACAATCCTGATGTCCAGTCTTACTGTATCAGTTCAAGTACCATTGAAGCTTGGCATCAGAATCAGAACTTTACTTTGTGAAATACACCTACATGTACTATGGATTTGTCTTGGCAGTATGGGTAAATACTCTCAAAGACAACACAAAACATACATTTTAAAAAGGAATAAATAAAAGATGTAAAAATATAAGCAAAAATATGACTTAGACTTGACTTTATTGAAATAAACAACGCTTAAGAGAATAATTTCAAGTTTATTTTTATTACAAGATATATATGGTGTATTGAATATGAGGAAAACAAAAAAAAAAACACTGACCCACAGTAGATTAACTGCATTTCCAAAGGGTGCCATATTGAAATTATGTTCAGGCAAACGTCTGGGTACCCATGGTGATATATGCATTAAATAATCTGACACATTTTGAAATGATTAGCTTTAGTGTTTAAACGTGCGCAATGTATATAAAATCCACACAGCCGTTAAAACTGGTGCAAGTGATGCATTTAATTATTTACCTGTCTGAGGTGAGTTAAGTGCTAGGAATTCTAGGTGGTTTGAATGATTTACTTTTTTGTAATCCTAAAGTCCAGTCATCACTTATGCTCGCAGCATGCAGGACACCCTCTGGGTGGATATTCAGGCAGTGCGGAGATTCCGGGTAACTTTAATGGAATTCCCTGTGGGAGAGTTCCTGACCTCCCAAATCAGACACCTGGTCACTGTTGCAGGAGACCCCCTGAGTCTGAATTACTGAATAACCACTGGAGGTCTTACACACACCTCTCTATTACCCCATCCCGCCCCCGTACACCCATTCTCCAGCAACACTGACCCCTTTCAGCGTGTCTCGGCGGATCGGCCACCCGTACCAGAACCGCACGCCGCCCAAGCGCAAGAAGCCGCGCACGTCATTCTCGCGCGTGCAGATCTGCGAGCTGGAGAAGCGCTTCCACCGGCAGAAGTACTTGGCGAGTGCCGAACGGGCCGCCCTCGCCAAGACCCTCAAGATGACCGACGCCCAGGTGAAGACCTGGTTCCAGAATCGCAGAACCAAGTGGAGGTAAGACAGCTGACACGAACCTGAAGTGAGAAGGTGTCGCACTCGCACCAAAACAAAACAAACCTCGGGCGTTAATGGAAGCTTCACGTCGACTGCAACACTGTTGCTCATCTCAACATCTTTATTAGGCCATTCGTCGGGAAACCAGAATATCACAAACGAAACTAGCACTATGATTACATGTGGGATACCACTTGCATTTAATCCAGCAGTATTTAATGCACGGGGATGTTTAATCTGAGCACAACAATTTTATGAGTAATACTGAGTAGTAGCATAACAGAGTGTGATTATCCATATGTTCAGTTTGCAACACTTCTGCATTCATCACTACTTAAGTAATCCTTTTTTTGGTATCACCATATGTATAGCATATTTTCTGAATACATCTACCCCATTTTCTGGGGTGGAAATACAAGCAGTTTGCACTAATAATAACCGATTTAGCCTTAATAACATATGACTCATATTGTTGTGATGGCTGTGCGGGGGTGTACGTGTATTTCTTCTGCATGATGTGTGCTCCGTATGTTTGTCCCCAACCACAGTGCTCACTGGAAAGGAAAGTAAAGCTGGCCTGAAGCTCTAATGTATCTGCCTTTCTGGAGGCGCGCCAGCTGGGCTCGCTGCCGTCCACAGTGCCTTTGCCCGCAAAACTGTTCTGTTTGTGCATATAGCAACCCGATGTTGGCAGCAGAAATATGATTAAGTGCCTTAGTGGCTGTTACTGTTGCTCACCGTTACTATGGTGATGGCGGCCATCTTTCCTATTGACATCAAGCCAGTGTGACTTAATGAGCAATCCACACATTTTAAAACCGTGATGTAATCGACAAACATAGAACTGCTGGAAAACTGTCCACTTTCAATCAAATCACTGGATAAAACCCTCTACAGATATTAGCATTCAACCATATTAGTAGAAAATGTGCCAGCCAAAGGCCTCAATGGGTCAAATCAATGTCTCTGTTATTCATCCAGACCCTAAGCTTCTTTTTTATGACATTCATGCTCCTGTCTTTAACTCTTCCACTGTGCCTGTTTTTAGCAAGGGTCTGACTGACTCTCCGACTGTCCTCTCCCCACTTGTAACCCCGTTGCCAGGCGACAGACGGCAGAGGAGCGGGAGGCGGAGAGGCAGCAGGCCAATCGGCTGATGGTCCAGCTGCAGCATGACGTCTTTCAGAAGTCCCTGGGCGACTCCATGCCCCCTGACCCTCTCTGCATCCACAACTCCTCCCTCTTCGCCCTGCAGAACCTGCAGCCTTGGGCTGACGAAGGGGGCAAGCTGGGTGGTGTCACCACATTAGTGTGAAGGTAGGGGCACCTGTTTTCTGACTTTCCATTTGGATAACTGATTCCTCATTGACTGCCCTTACAAAAAAAACGCCATCAGTGTTCCTGCCGATGCCTTACCTTATTCCACGGTTTGACTTGTTTTCTACAGCAGGTTCCTTTAATCAGACAACTTCGACTCCTGGGAAGAAAACAGCAACCCAGAGGCACAAAGTGGCAGTGCTGGAGACAATGTGCAGGGGTGGTAATGGATGCACATGCCTTTAGGAAGACCAATAAGAGGAAGTATTTGAAGAGTACCTTAAAGAAGAGCCAATGAGGAGACATAATGGAGAGACACCCAACTGACAAAAGCCAGTAAGAAACAGTATTCAAGGGGAGCATTTTACAACAGGCAATGATTACGCGGCATTGGAAAAGGACCACTTTAAACAGAAACTGATTTAAATAACTGCTGTATAAGGGCAGTTTTCACTTTTTTATTAAAATGCACTTTTACATAAAAATCCTGTAAATATGCTGACCAGTAATGTAACAATGTGTGAAAGGGAATGCTGGTCCTGTGTACTTAGATGTTTGTATAACATGTATCATAACTTGCATTTACAATTTGCAAAATGTCAAAGGACCGTTTTACTTCCAGAGAGAATTTGGTTACAACTAAATGCATTTTGATTAAGGCATCATGTGGATGATCTGGTGCATTTGATGCAGACTGAAGCTATATTTGCCTCTTCCTGAAGAGTGAAACCATGCGTGATGAACCACTGCCTAATGGATAGGAGACTTCAGTCTTGTTGTATGATAGAGCTATTTGGAAGCTCTGAATTGATACTGACACATTGACACATAAAATTGCCATGTGACAAAGTTCCCTTTTAAAATAGGGACAATGGCAATTAAACGCCATTGGTTATTCGTTTGCTTTATAAATGTCTCCATAAATTGCTAGTTTTATCTATGTATCTGTTGGTAGCAACAAAAAAATCCACGAAATACAGATTTTTGGAGGAAGGAACAGGGGTTAAATTGGGCACGCTCATGGTGAATTAGACAAGATAGGAGCACAGTTTACTCTAACACTTAAACAAGCACCTGCTTGAATTCATTGCTTCCAATCTATCTTTTCTCTAACAAACCGCAAACTTTCTTTGTACAGTTATCGTATGATAACAGGTGCTTGGTGCTGCCTATTCCCTGTCCCCGAAACCTCGACGAAATCCCACATTTCTGTAAATTTCTATAAATATTTGAAATGCATTTGCTCCCAAAGAAGAGACATTGAAACTCCTTTATTATACATGAAAGCCAACAGCGGTATGAGTGAAGAAACCTCAACTTGTACCCAAGGGAATAGGAACTGGGCCTAAAGCATAGAGGATAAAAATGGCGGGAACAATCAGCAATAGAGACATCCGTTTATTGATTGACATTGGAGATTATCTAACGCATCAAAATAAAATCAGTCCTAAAATAAAGTCAGACTGTTAGAGCCAGCTAAAGAACAGACAGGACTAGTGAAGAATAACAAGGTAAACATCCGCCAGGTTGGATCTGAGCTAAATTGGGGTTCCTATTACAATAAAGTGTACTATTATTTGTATTTGACATATATGTAGATAATAATAAACGTATGTTCACTTTGTCATATGGTGTCATCGCGTTGCATTTCAGATGACTCTTGGTCCGTTGTGAAAGTGGAATGAGAAAAATACGATGAACGAAAGCGCACAAAAGACCGCTGTGCTTGCAGAAGTTACAGTGGACCAAAGAGAAAGTAACACTGAAACAGAGAACACATTAACGACAATCTAGAACTCCATACCTGCACGCCAAGTACTCAGCTCCAAACTGCTGGACATCACAGTTGACTGGGGTTTGAAGCTTCATTTCTCAGAGCATAGTAGGTGGCGGGTCACAGCTGCCGTTTAATTAATGGTGAGGCAGCAGAGCATTCCTGATACACTGCTGGCATGCTATGTTAGATGTTCTCCTCATGGGCTTCTCTTGCTTTTAAAATGCAAGCAATTTAAATTCTTACTGAGCAGATTAATTCAGAGGCTGATATGCGGTTTAAGTCGAGGGTTAACGATCTACGTAATGCTTTGTTCATATTTTTCACCGTTTTGTTGACAAAGTTCAAAATAACCTGACCTTGAACAGAGCTGAACAGTTCTGCAATCGATAGAATCAAATCATAACACTGTGGCCCATACTTTTGTGAAGGGTACGACCACAATCAGCTTAAATATATTAATTAGTATATTGTTTCTTAATAACCCATGCAAGACTCTTTAGAGAAATGGGTTTTATTTTAATGGTTTAGTTGTTCTGTTTGGAAAGCGGCATTTTTTTTTTTTGTTGCATTTATTCACTATAAATGTGAATGCAGGCTGAAGGCAGAAACTTTTCCTTGGGTACTGACTTCTTGAAATGTCTGTGTAAAATAAAACTGCAGAAAAAGTATCCATAGGCCTACATACAAAGGCAGAAACAACTGGCATAATGCTTTGGAACGCATTACAGTATCACGGCTTATAAACAATGGATGTATCCAAATAATTTAATGTTAGGGGATTTTCAGTAGTTCAGAAATGACTGGAGAAATAAAATTGATTCCTTCTGTTATTCATGTGTTTTGAATCAACACACATACTGTTATATACTAAGAAGTTCATAATAACACGTTCTGCTTATTGGATTGTAGGTAATTTTTAAAATTTATTTTGAATAAACAAACTGATAAACAAGTAATTTAACTGGGTAGTGGAAAGGATAGAGTTCAAGGTGTATTTCGTTGACGTTAACACATAATTTAAGTGAACCAAATTCTTCCTTGTAACGGCCAAACCTAAGATGAAACCAATGTATGAATGTATTCTCTATTAATTATTAATATGTAATAACAAATATGCACGTACGAGGGTATTCAGTAAACAAACACCCTGTACTCTGAAGATACAATTATTATGGCAACAGTCTTACATCGCCATCTGTTGGTAAGTTGCAATAATGACCCTTAGTAATAGTTAAAAAGACTGCGTTTTTCCATCAAAAAAAAAAACTCACGGGGTTTTAGTAAACTGTGTAGGCCTATTGTCATCACCGGGTTATATTAGGCCAACAGTTATTTAAAAATAACCAGAATAAATATTTTTTTAACAGGTGGAGACTGTGGCTGGATGTTCATGAAACTGTACGTACCGATTGAATATTTTGTTAAAAAGGCTTAACGGCGAACATATCGGCAATTAAAAGTAACTTAGTGGCAAAATAAACGAGGACTGAATAAATAAAAGTCGCTTACTTGCATGAAAACGTGAGAATATGCCAACAGCATATTCGTGAAACAAACATTTAAACGTTTATTTGAATAAGATAATCCCGAAACCTCCGTTGCCGATTACGGCTAAACACTGAGCAGACTCCGGCTCGTAGCTGGCCATTTTTGATAGCAGACCGACTCAACAAAACTTTTATAAAAGGATGCATTCGAGTCTAACATAAAGCGTAAACTGAATACGTTTCTACCGGGAATCAATTCAACTTACCCAGAAATACATAATACATAATAAATACATCACTGCTGTTCAATGGAGAGGAACTTAAGCCAAGTATTAAAATGCCTGGACGAAGCTCCGACTTCCGAAGAGTTTCTTTACAGTAAGTTAATCTTTCCTTATTACTTTTCTTATTGTAACATGGAATGAAGTTGTGTTGTCGTACCTGAGTTTGCAAAATATTAGCATTTAATAGCGATATACGCAGTGCTGCATCGTAAACTGCATAATGCACCGGAGGATGATAGGAGTCCTCTCTTCAGATTACCTTCTCAGGATATCATGTGTCTGATTCAAACACGTGGACACACCGCTTATTTTCTTATAATCCAATATTTAGGTATGGATCCGTCCACCTGTTTCACGTACTCTGTTCTGACGCTGATGACGTTAGTGGGAAGCCTTATGTACTTGGAGGAGACCGTGTACATAACCAGGAAAATTACGTCATCCTGCAAGAGAACCGCTTACATCTGGGTTACTGGCGCTCCACCTGTAAGGAGGTTATTTTATTGCGTTATGTTTTGCTCTTCCCTGCAATTCTGCTAAGATTATCTGAAGCAAAATTTTCCAGGTGATTGCCGCCACGTCGTGCGTTGGCCTGTGGGTTCCTCGCTCGTCCATGTTTACAGACTTCACTGCTTCCATGTAAGTCAAAGAATCTGTTCATCTTGGCGATTTAATCAGCTGGGTTGTGTTGAAAAAAAAATAACGCAGCTTTAAAATTCAGCTCCACTTACAATGTAATTTTAGGATGTTAATGTATTTTTTTCTTAGAAGTAATTTAATAAATGTATTTTTGAAAGAATTTGAGAGTGTATTTTTAAGCCGTGGAGTGGTTCAGTCATTGAAATAGTTTGATCAATTCAACTCGTAAACTGTGATAAGCTTGATGTCTCCGGTTTGGTTCCTCTTTCAGTGGATGTAAGTTGTTGATTGTTGTAGTCAGTACAATAATTTGTTGCTTAACGACAGGGGTACGTTCTGACAGTTGATTTCATCATAGAGTGTACTTATACAAACCTAGATGGTACAGCCTACTACACACCTAGACTGTACGGTATAACGTAAATAAATTAAAAGTACAGTAAATACATCAACCAGTAACATAGTTGTTTATGATCAGTGTATTGTATGCGCGATACTTTTACACAACTGGCAGAGCGGTGTAGGTTTGTTTACACCAGTAACACCGCTAACACGTGAGTAATGCGTTGCACGCTGACATTATGACGACTATGACGTCTCTAGGTGATAGGAATTTCTCAGCTCCATTATAACTTTATGGGGTCATGTCGTGCATGCCCGTCATTGACTGAAATGCCGTTATGCCGCACGTGACTGTATATTTTCTTCTGATCTGCAGCTTGGGGGGGGTTATGCTGCCTGTCCAGTCACACTTAGATCGCTTGGGTTGCTTGGCTGCAGGAGAGGTCCTTCACATATGTGCATAGTGACTGGCTCTCTAATGCAGTGATTCTCAATCTGCTTCTTGGGGACCCACAGACAGCTGGAGCTGGGAGGGAGCAAAAACGTGGGCAGCACTGCTATAATGGTACACAATCTGCTCCCCCTCTCCCTCAGCTATTTAAGCATCTCCCTGCACAAGTTCCTGGTGATGATGCTGGAGGAGTTCGGTGGGGAAGAGGCGCTGGTGCGCCGGCTGCAGGACAAGCCCCTGAAGACCAGCACCGGGCCCTGCTGCTGCTGCTGCCTCTGCCTGCCGCCGCTGCCCGTCAGCAGGTCATGGCGCTGATTAGGCACCTCACCGGGTGGTTGCATACCATCCCCTTAGGACATCAAGGGACACAGACCAAAATGGGGCCAGCAGCATTTCATGTAACCTATACGGTTTTGGTTGTTTATCGAGATACATACCCAGGTGTCTTCTAATGAATTTTGATCAAACACAGGTGTAGTATAGTTTGGAACCGTATCTGTCTGTACTTTTGTATGGTGTATATTGTTAAGGACAAGAACCAGTCCTTAAACCAGTCCTCAGGGACCCCCAGACAGTTCACATTTTTGCCCCCCCTTCCCAATGCCCAACACTCCTGTACCATGTATACAGGGCTCTTGATTGGCTGGGAGCTTGGAGGGAGCAATAATGTGGAGGTTGCAGGGGTCCTGGAGTCTTTCACAGGCAGCAGAAGGAAGAAGGCAGGGCTACATCCTGGCTAGGAGGCCGGACCATTGCAGGGCATATGCATATACATACTGGCCCATGCAGTCATCGATAATGGGCAATTTCGAGATGCCAGTCAGCCTAACCGGACCCTTTCATGAGCTTGTAAACTGAATATTGCTGGTTCATGACTCAAGAGGAGCTGTGTAGTGCCCTTGAACAAGGAACTGGATGAAATATCCAGCCATACACGTATCATCTTAGTAATTTTCAAGATTAGGGGTACAACAACAGCTTACCCTCTATAATCCAAACAAGCAAAGGTTCATTAAACCTAAATAGCTTTCTGTGTACCATCACAGTGAAAGTCCTGAGCTTTGGCATCAAGGCCACGACTTGAGGTTCACTGTGTCTAATCAGGACGAGCCTGACCATCCTGAAGTGGGGGACCTTGCAGGCTGCTCTTCTCAGGCCAACGCTCATGTTTTTCGCCACTGTCCTCTGGAGCAACGGCACGTATCAGCAAGGCAAGGCAAGTCCACTTTACAACCATAATGCCCAAATAAGACAATCCCATTTTACACGGAAGTTCTATCCATCTAACTGTACGACAGGGATTATTGTCACGTCTTAGTTCCGTAAAGTTATGAGTTGATACTGAAGTGTTTCTGACGGCAGTGAGGCTGAGATCTGCTCTTGCACCTTTAGATGGAGGTGAAGGAGGCGTTCCTATGGATCACTTTGCTGTCTGTGGCTGCTTTCCTGCTCTCGCTGTGGCCCCTAGGAATCATGTTTGCCCAGGCCAAGTTAGACCTCTCAAAGTGCAACATTGTTCCAAAGTTTGCCCTGAACCAGGTAAACCTCCTTGTCTGACCTTCACTGTGTCCTGTGCTCCTCTGCTGAAGAGTGGTTGTTATCCCCTTTGGGTCATGTGATGTGGGACTCCAGCGGCATGTGACCTTTTGTTGCCCGATATAACTCTCTAGTGGGAACATCATGTGCTTTTAATTAATCACTATGAATCCTCCTTGTGATCCATCATATAATATGTGGGGAGGCCTCATTTCCCCTCCACACCTTTAGCTATATATGCTGTGCTGTTTGCTATCTGCACCTTGCTGTTAGACTCAGTCCCATATGGTCTTCGTTCATAGACATATGTCACCTGCCGCATCCTGACCCATTTTAAACTCCCTCCCTCCCTGACACTTTGGGATGCGTGACATGTTGTCGGATGATGTTGTGTAGCTCTTGCTCCTATATTACTTAGACTCGTAACCAGGCGTTCGTCGGAAGCTCAGCCAGATCGCACTTACGCCTGGTTGACTCCTTGGTTGACTGGTTGACTCCTTGGTTGACTGGTTGACTGGTTGACTCCTTGGCAGCAGATGTCTTTGTGATGTTCTGTTTACCTCATTTGTACGTCCCTTTGGACAAAAGGGCCTGCATTGTGAAAGTAAAGGAAATGCCACTTCAGCAGATCCTGCCGTCCTTCTTGGTTTCCTTTCAGTGCGTGGTGGTTCTTAGCCAGGCCCAGAGTGGCATCGTGGACGTGCTGGTCAGCACTGGAACCATTTCTTGTGTACCTCCTTTCTCCGCCCGTGCCAGAGGAACATGTGAGTTCGTCCTCTTCCTCTACAAAGCTTGAATCAGAATCGCTGTATTTTGCCAAGTATGTTACACGTATGAGCAATTTGCCTGGGTGCATGCACACGTGATTGACATGTAACATATCACAAACTGGACAAGTACAGATTATTTACATATATTTAAGGAAACTAAAGGCTATGTAAAAGATAAAAAAAATAAAAATAAAAGAATATAATGAGTGGAGGAAATAAACATTTTATATAATTCATTATATAATCATATTTTATGTAAGTGCAGTATGTGAATGTGTACTTCTGAGGAACAGATAGAATCTGTTATTTACAGTATGTTACAGGGTCGCATGTCCTTTATGCAAATAAGCAACAGTGCATTATGGAAAAGAGAACAATGTGGTTCTTTCAAGTACAGAGTGTCTGCCACTGTTATTGAGTGCCACTCAGTTGTTTTTTGTTGTGGTGCTTGTTTACTGGCGAATAGCCAGGCTCAGTAATGGTAGGAATTAGTATAATTTTTAGGCATATTCTTAGTAAAATCATACTCTTTCCCAGACTGCTCAGATTCATATACACTTAGGGGGGCTTCTATGTTTACAGAAGAAAATGTCGTCTTCCCCTCTGTGTCCACAGTCATGGACCAACAGCTGCTGGTGGTAGAGATGTTCATAGTCATATTCGTGGCCCGTTTCTACTACAGATGGGAACACAGCGGCAGTGATGCCGAGAATCCAGGTCCTTGCTAAGGAGCGCGACCACGGGGACTGGAACACGCTAGAAAGAAATGTTCTCAAGCGGCCGCTTATCAGTCCAGTGCAGTAGGTTTAAATACTACTGTGGTATCACCTGTCTTTTTACTCTGGACAAGAAGATCTGCTGACTGCCAGAGCTGTTGTCAATGGACCATGTTCAGAAGTAACATGAATGAACCTGCAGCAGCCCAGAAGGTATAGAACAGGGGTCTTCAACACTGGTCCCGGAGAGCTACTGTTCAGTAGGTTTGCTATCCTACCTGGTTTCTGATGAGCCACAGCTGCTCTCAGGAACATACCAGGAACAGCTGTGGCTCACCAGAAGCCAGGTAGGATAGAAAACCTACTGAATAGTAGCTCTCCAGGACCAGAGTTGGAGACCCCTGCTATAGAAGATCACAGATCACCTTCTTCTGTGAGACTTAAATATGGGGAGAAATAAAACAACTAATGAATATATTATATACTGAAGACATTTTTGTCTTTAGGGAGAAAATGTGGTTATTTGCAAATACTAGGTTGTGGTACAGAATGTTGTAATACTTTGATACTTAATTTGAGGAAAATAATAAATATGTAGCTATAAAAATAAAACATAAAAAGAATTGTGAGGCCTTTAACAAAATTAGCATATTGGTAGATAAGCTATTAGTGTTTAGTTTAGTTTTGGCAGAAGTTTGTTTCTGCAGTTATAATTTATAAATACAAATTGCAGATATATAGAGGCACAAAAGCTTTTTATTCAAAAGTGTTGTTGGTTAGTGTGAAATATGCAAATGGTAATGCTACAAGCAGATAAAGTACAACCAAATGCACAGCTTTTTTTGTCTTAAAATAACATAAATAATAAAATATTTCCAAAAGTGACAGGCATGTCATTTCTGATACAGACAGATTTAAGCATTTTCCCACTAAGAATCTCGCTTTAAAACCAGGCGTCCTCATCTTGGCCAGTCACACCACTCACAGCAGAATAGCCAAAGCTCAGATTTATTCATCCTGGAGCTGTTGCCGGGAGACCCTGTTCCTGAGAACTGGCAGTGCATAGAGAGGCCTTTCATGCAGTTGAGTGAGGGCCCAAGCCACAGAAACAGCTGTTTCTATCAAATGTCGAACTAATCCACAGAGAAAGGTTGCAATAAAAAGGAAAACGGCAAACTTTCCTGTGTACTCCCAGCCAGCTCCGATGATAGATTTCCTGTTAATCCATTAATTTGAAAGATTGTTAGATTGTACAAACAAGGTGCGAAATAGCAAAGTAACTAAAACTCAATTCATTTTTATATAGCACCTTTCACAAAAGAGTCAGCGTGGTCACGGTAAAGCCAAAGTCTGTCGGTGAGTCATTTCTCCATCCCGGCCTGTGTGAATACGCAGCTTGAATGTCACACTCAGGGTGCCACGGTCCGTAAGTCGCATCCACAATGTCACGCTTCCATGGGACTAAACCAGCAGTAAATGTCTGCTTTTCAGGACTCTCCCAGAATAACAACGGCCGTAAGAAGTTTGGCACTAGTGCAGGGGGCAGGCAGCCCTGATCCTGGAGTGCCAATATCCAGCAGGTTTTCCATCCTACCTGATGAGTGACTGTCTGCCTGAGATCAGGTTTAGCTCATCAGAGACCAGGTAGGATGAGTGTAGATTATGGCTAAAATACCATAATTTCTGTCCTTTTTTCATAGGGCACCAAGTGAGTTTATACTCTGGCCAAGATGCCAGGTCATGGCAGGACATATGCATGCACAAAATCAGTCATACTCTACGGGAAATTCAGAGACGCCTAATAGCATGTCTTTGGATTAAAGGAAGAAACCAGTATCACACAGGGAAAAATCAGTGTTCCTGTATGCCTCTCACACATGGGGAAAACATGCAAACTCCACACACAGAGCAGACGGGGATTCAGCCTCCCAAGCCAAAGAAACACAAAGAAAGACAACTGATTCTTCCTTGTCTTACAATGCTATTTATGTGTTTACAGTTTAATATAAATACAAAATTTAGGTCCACGCTGGAAACAGTCATTCGTTTGGGAAAAGACACATTGCATTTGACATACCACTTGATCTCTATATATAGAAATACCCACTATTAAAGAGAAAGTATTCTTACACAAAGGACAGTCAGCACATTCATAACGCCAACTCTACAGAATACAACCATACGCATTACCTAAGATGTGTCTATTAATGTCTTTAATGCAAGTATGTAAGACAGTGTAAATGCAACCATGCAGCACCATATACAGCAGTGTCAATGTAACCACTGTGCACTGTCATGCAACTGCACTGCGTCTGCACTGCATACAGTACGTTGCATAATAATGAGTAGTTTATGAAGCATGACACATACAGATACGAACAACTCTTGCAATATGCATAACGACTTGTGCTATAAGAGCTTCTTGCAGGCTTTAAGTGTTAACATAAGCTTCTTCAAGATGGCACTTCCTGTTCACAATAATGCAGACAAACGGCATTTAAAGGTTAGACGTCGTCATATGACATTTAGCTGATTTCACATTTAGCGTATTACTCCAGACAAATATGGTCGTGTAGCGCTTTCCTAACGGCACAAAAACCCAAAGTTCTCAAGGAAAAGTAAAAGACAAAAAGGAGACTCCAAATCATCCAATAATGCACCACAAGACATTAAGGACCATTAACATGTTTGTTAATGTCTGCTTTTTTTTGTTTGTCTCATGTAGCCATTAATAACTGTCACATTTATCTAAATAACCATTGATGAAACTGTTGACATGAACTTAATGTTAAGCACATGTACTGAAACAATAATGATCTAAAATGAAAAGAAAAACATCATTTGGAGAAATGTTGTGCTTTAAGAAAGGAAATCAATAAAGTTTATATATATACTTACTTCCTGTAACATCTCACTTTCTCATCAGTTTTGTAATCTTATAAATATAGCACAAATGATAAAGAAAACATTTTAATGTAAAAAAAAAATCATTGTATTTGATTGATCTTATCTCTACCTGTTTGAATCATTTTGATTTAAATGCAGTGTATCGAATCCTCCTAGCACAATGGGGCAGATTTTTGCCTTTCATTACATAAATCACGTTGGCAATATTATGAAATCTCAGCGGGAGAGACGGACCTGAATGCTTGGTTTCAGTAAGGCTATTCCAAAGGCAGATATAAACACGGTACAGATCGTCGCCATCGACACAAAGGCAGGAACAGAAGGCAGCCACTTCTCGAGGAAACTCGCCGTGATCGGCTTCGACGGAACGTCCTGAAGAGTTGTCGTCGATGGGGAAAGAAGAAAATCATGAGACCCAGAAGTCGCTGATTCATATAGCAGAAAATATTCCATTTCAACAGAAGTGACAAGGTGTGCAGTAAAGTGCCATTGAAAAAGGCTGATCATTTTGAAACCAAACGGCATCAGCTCACACTGATCTTACTTTGTTAAATGGAATGGAAACAGCAAAAGGGATTTCAGGTTCAGTTTTTCTCTTACATTTGCCCAAGACTGAACTTGTGCATCAATGCCATCCACTTCCTGTAATTATTTGTCCTATGAAGGGTTGTGGGGGGTCAGAGCCTATGGGCACAAGGCAGGGAACAACCCAGGATGGGGCACCAACCCATCACAGGGCACCAACCCATCACAGGGTGCCGACCCATCACAGGGTGCACTCACACACCATTCACTCACACATCATTCACCATTTGGTAACTCCAATTCATCTCACCATGTGATTGTTGGGGGAAACTGGAGTACCTGGAGAAAACCTCACAAAGAGACGGGGGGGAACATGCAAACTCGACACACATGGAGCCATGGTGGAGACTCGAACTCTGGTCCCATAGGTGTGAGCTAACAGTGCTAGCCTAGTGCCACCCCACGCATCCATGTAGATCTTTTATTCTTAGTTCTTTTATTTAATGGCTTTAATTTATTGCCTGTTCTTTGATCACTTTCCCTTTTTCAATAATCAGTTCACTGTCATTCTGACTTGGACAGTCAGTAAGGAATCTTCACAGGAAGCCACGCATTCAGTCTTCAGGAAAAGTGGACAGTGGGACAAGTATGGATGGAAAAAATCAGGAAACGACAAGGAAAAAAAACCCTGAAAACGCTAAAATCCATCCATCAATCCATCTGCCAGTCCAGGACAGAGCAACAGGATCAAAGAATGCCTAGAATCAAACATTTATTTGATGGTAAAGTGAATTTTATTAAAATTCTGATTAGCCAGAACTCCAAAAAAGTATATCAACAGTTCTGTGGTGTAAAGGGGCATGATGCTGGCTCTTTGGCCAATGACAGTTTGTAATTTTACTATTCTTAATAAGAACTGGCAGTTTTCGATGTCATCGCTAGGGATTTGTTTAACTTACTGAGTTGTGGCTTTAGTATATTTGTACACACAAAATACCTGATCTTCTTCATCCTCTTTCCAGATCTCCAGGGATGAGATTCGGCCCATGGCATGCAGCACCTGAAATGGACGTTGTTTGGGATAGTTAATGCCAACAATGTCCTCCCCTAATCTAGTTTTCAGTTGTGTCATATCTGATTTAAAAAAGCTTATCATTGGACTGCATCCAGGTCACGTGCACAGTTCATGATACTCCCCTCCAAATAAACAGGGTGTTCATCCATACCAAGAACGCCAAGAACAAACTTATATTCTTGGCTAGAGCATTCTTGCTAACTTGCCTGCCAAGAACAAATTTGGGATGCAATGAATCATGGGATTGTTCTCATCGGCAAGGAAGCAACTGATGCAACCTTGATATTTGGGGCTAGTGAAGAGCAACATCTTGGGATTTTTACTTTCCTCCGTGCTTCCGTTCTTGAGTATTGGAACTGTACTTCGGCAACAGGAGAAGACATCAAAGGGTGCATAACAATACAAGAATGGTCAAGTACGCATACTGGTGAACACCCACAAACTACCTGAGGGTCCTACCATACCTCTCTGGCTGCCCTCTCTCCTGCCTGCACGGCCCCGTCCATGTAGCCGCTCCATTTGGTGGCCGTTTCGGTGCCTGCAAAAAATAGCCTGCCGAATGGTTCCCTGAGGGCCCTGCAGATGAGAGAGCCCGGAACAAAGGTCACACTGCGCAGCCTTTAGGAGCAAATTGATGCTAACAATATGTATCAGTCTTCCTGCCCAGGCGCCTCTGTCCAACTAACGTGAACAAAAAAATATTGGTTCAGAGAGATAACCAATCAGATTGAAGAGGAGGCAGGACCAAGACATCTGATTTGTTCTGCCCTAGGAACATTTCCGTGCAAGTAAAACTCCACGAGCAGCAATACCCAGGGTACTGACATATTTTATCTGGCTGCTATAAACATTTTTATGAAAATCAAATAAGTAACGAAAAGTAATTTTTAAAAGATAATTTTGTGTAAAATGTGTTCGATTTGCTTTTAAAAATAATAGTAAATTGCAAGGGTTTTGCCAATGAGTCCTTACAGACTGAATATATACCACAGACGTTTGCTGAGACTGGCTGCCATTTCCATCCATTCATTCAGCGGAGGGCACATGACAGGATGCACCGGGGAGGGGATCCCAGTCCATTGTAGGGCGCACACTCGCACACAGTATGGACAATTTAAAGATACCAATTCATTCATGTCTTGTGGGGATAAAACCCATAAAAACAGAGAGAACATGGAAACACCACACACACAGGGTGGGACTTAAAGCCCCAACCTGGTAGGTGTGATGGAACATGCTGCATCTTCACATTACCGGCATGTTTTTGTTTCCTCCAAAACAAAAAAACAAGTCACCTTAAAGAGCCCCAGCACTCAAAGGCAAATTTACAGCATATAAGAGTTTTCATTCCTTTGCCAGCTAAAATACCTCACATCAACATGCATACAAAAGTTGCAGGGTTAATGAAGTGAGACATGCCTTATAATTTGGGTTTCTCTGTTCTGTTTGAACTTATTTGATGCTTTTATCCAGAGTATCTGAGAGTGAAGGGTTAAAATGCATGGGTGCTCCCTGGGATGTGAACCAACAACCTGTGGGTTGTTAGTGCAAGACTTTACTTATTGCGTTACAGGACACGTCTTATTGGTTGTAAGACATAATTTCCCGAATACCCAAAGGGTTACAATTTAGGGGTGTTTCCTGGGATGTGAACCAACAACCTGTGGGTTGTCAGTGCTAGACTTTACTTGTTGAGTTACAGGGCACTTCTTATTGATTGTAAGACAGAAATACCTGAATACCCGAAGGGTTAGAATTTATGGGTGCTCCCTGGGATGTGAACCAACAACCTGTGGCTTGTCAGTGCAAGACTTTACTTGTTGAGTCACAGGATACTTCTTATTTGTTCTAAGACAGAAATAAACGGCTGAATAAAAAGAAGTACTGAGCCAGTGAATCTCTACCTGCTGAACTGGCGGTAGGTTCCAGGAGGGAAGTAGGCAGCATAACAGCCCCCGGAATACTGCTCGCCACACCAGTCCTTCTCCTCGTAGTGAAGCGGCTATAAGGATTAACACTGATGAGAGTTAAAAACCACAACTTATCACTAGTAGCTCTTGCCATATTATATTCAGAGAAGATCTGGTACGTTCTGGGGTGCTTTGCACGTACCTGAAGAGCATCAGTAGTGCCCAACACCTTTGAATATATCTGACATATTCGCTGTTTCCTCTCCTCTTTAGTCAAGTGGATGAGCTCCCTGGCTTTTCTGGCTAAAATAAATCTAGAGAAGGACACGCAGCTCTAATGAGACTAGTTTGCTTGTTTAGTCATAAACAAAAGGCTCCTTTCTCCATCAATTTACATTATGCAAATAGCTGTCAAGCTTAAAATGTGTGCAGTTAATTATTTTAATTACCATAAAAGCAAAGTTGTCTGCAAAAACAACATCTGTGAATGTAATTGTGTAGAATTTTTTTACGCGTAACTACAAGCATAGTTCAATGTGAGGCAAATTATGCTTTATCATACTTTATTAACAAAACTGATATTATGTAATAGGTGGATATAATGCCAATCATGAGTATATCTACGCATGAACATATACTGAAGAACCAGTTGCCTGGTCATAGCAATTTGTCCCTCGTCAAAGTCACTCAGATCATCTAATTTCCCCTGCATCCAGTTTGTCACCTATGAAAACTGGCTGTTTGCTTGCCATTTTATACATCCCAGATTGAATTTAGTGCTGCTGTTTTGAGACGATGAGCAATATTTGCATCATCTGTTGGTGGTCATTATGTTTTGGCTCTGGCGTATATACTGTATATACACACTGTGTTTATTGCATGAGAAGAAGCAACATAAGGATTCTCCAAAAAGGGGAATAGAAACAGTCACCCCATGATGCAAGGACATGAGCCGTCTGGTTTGGTGTCATCTAGGGTCATTGAAATAGGGGAGTCTTCATCTTCAATCATCATTGTTCCACAGTAGCCTGTAGAAAACATAAGCAGCAGATTTTACTGATCCTTTACTGATCTTCGCGTGTATAAGCCTTTGGAATAACTGTAACTACGTCTGGTCTCGGTGTTTCCCATAGAACTACAAGCCCGTCATTTAAATTCCATTGTGCTCTGTAAAAAGCAGGCCGTCATGCCTTCAGCAAACAAACCTCAAGACAGCATATTGCAACCCAATCTTCATCAACTAGAGTACTCTTACAACTCACTAATACATTCAATTGCATAACATTTTCTTGAGTCATGTTCAGTTGTCTGTCTTTCAAGGGAATGAATCAGTTTTCCCTTATTTTTGATAAACTTGGTTTTCTGCTTTTGATTTCATCTGGAAAAAATCTCACATGCAGTGGTCTGTGATGACATTTAAATTCTCCAAACTGGATTTATTGAATAACAATAATTGTTGTAGTTTTGCCTGAAAGCTTTTGAGCAAGAAACACAAAAAAAGCAATTTGCATCTCTAAATATTTACATTTTAAGCTTCTTTGCAGTCTATTCAGTCATTTGATCATTGTATTTAATTGCAATTTAATTGTATTATTGCTTGTACAATAACACAATACCATAATACAATACAATGTATAACATATACTGCATTTTAGGAAGTTTTGAAAAACTGTAATGCACTTTCATTAGCTTTCAGTAACCAGTGAAGACTGGTTACAGATATAACAAATCCAAGATATTCATGCCAGATATACAAAATATTGTAAATAAAGAATAACTTATTTGGTGTTTTCACCCATGTGTCTTTTAGATGTGGTACAGCAGCTTTGTGGGTTTGAGGGAGTTATTACTACATTGTGGTTTGAATCCTGTCCTATGCTATGCAAATAGCTTGACTCTGTTTACTCTATTTTGCTCCCACTGCGCAGCTTGGTGCCACTAAATTGCCCATTATTTGTAACTGCATATATGAGTGTGTGCCCCGTGATGGACTGACATCAGTGAGGGTGACCCCGTTTTTGTGCCCTGTGCCTCATGGAATTATAAGAGACAGAGGGAAGCTATTTCCTTTGTGGAATGGAAGTCAAACTTTCCAGAGACTTTTTTAAACCTTGATTATCTGTCTGTGTTTGCTTAAAATCCAGGTCTCCAGAAAAAATCCAGAATCTCCAGATTCTTGTGCTAGTACTCTGACCTTCACTCTGACTTGATCACCACAGTACCACCGCTGTGGATCCCACTTCACCATCCTACTTAGTGTCAAACTGAAGGGTTAACTGACTCCCGTTCCACCCTTCAGTCCAGAAATTCCTTGATGTTTAGCCCTGTCTTCTGTCATTCAGCCTCACCTTATTGTTGAAATCAAATGGTTTTGGTTTGGGTCTATCAACACCATCGATCATGTTTGGCCCTTCAGGGCCACCATAGAGACAACTTCCTTCTCACCCTTCTCCTTCCAAAATGACCTTTTGTAGTACATCATGCACTTGATTATGGAGCCCATGGGAACCCTCTGGATCAGCTGATTCCTGATGGGTGGTAGTCCAGGCTCATAGTGGATATTCATGGTCAGTCCCGGTGGGATAGCACTGATAATGTACCCCCCCTGGAAAAAAAAATGAATTAAAAATGCCAGTCTATAGTTCACTTTCTGCACAAAGCCTCAGATAAGCTTGTCTCATAATGCAGTTTCCCAGATGTAATCTACTTAATTCTGTCACTCTTTGTTGCATACAAATATTCACCCTTCGTATACTATCACACACACAAAAAACTGACGAGGTCCTTTTGCATTCAAGAGTACCTCCTAAAAGAGGATTATTAACTGTAGTATCATGTTAACAGTAACGTAAATGTGAGCACACCTTGTATTTGTCTCCAGTTAATGTTTCCACAGAAACTCCCTCAGCATTCTGAGAAACTCTGACAACAGGCTGGTTCAGCATGACGCTCCCTCTCAGCTGCGCTGCTATTCGCTCGCTGATTTGTCCGGACCCGCCCACGAATTTCCTCTCCTTCAATTATAAAACCGAACACTGAAAAGAAGCTGATACAGTACTGTGCAAAATGTTACGGCATACAAAATATTTAAAGCTACAGTATATTTACAGTACAACAATGAAAACTAACAAGAATTTCTTATATTCTCCAAAAAGCTACTGATATCTAGCTGGATGGCTAGATGAACGCCGCTTCAGTTCCCAGATCTCCCCTCAGGGGCACCTCAGCCATTCCATGTATTTATTCAATTTCACCACAAGCTCACTTAATTAATAAATTAAATTAGTTTTTAAAAAAGTATTGATTAGCCATACGAGGTGTGCTAGTTCCCAGGTAAAAAATACATGGATGAATTGGACGACTGCTGTAAATACTGGGGTGACTTTAGGAGAGGTTTCGAAATGTCTAAGCTGACACACTTTGACAGACATATAATCATAGTTTAACATTAACATGAAAATCACTTAACCATCATTTTCTTTGACTGCCTAAAAATAGTACTGTATTTTCAAACTTTTTTTTTGGGGGGGGGGGATTTCTGCCATGTAAGCCTTATGCTTCACCTGTCCTCCATTCGACGTGGAGAAAATTCTTCTTGTTCCCCCACACTGCTTCACGTACCAAAGGAACCAGAGCACCGAAACTTCATGAGGCTCAGATGTCACATTGACATTCACAAAAAGCCTGGCAAAATCCTTAGCTGTCCTGTAATGGATAAACACAGGTCTCTATTGGATTATTCCACCTACAGAAACCCAGATTACTTTGGCTCATCTTGATTAACCTCTGAGTGCACATTTGTGCATATGGTATATTGAGATAAACTGGCCTAAATCAATCCATCCATTTTCTATAACTGCTTGTCCTATTCAGGGTTGCGGTGTGTGTGTGTGTGTGTGTGTGTGCGTGAATAGACCATATATCATGATGAGGAATTTGCCTTAACTTCATCCATCCATCCATCCATTTTCCAAACCGCTTATCCTACAGCAGCGGTGGCCAATCTTATCCGCAAAGGGCCGGTGTGTGTGCAGGTTTTTGGGATAACCTTTAGGTCAGCTGTTCAAACCCAGGTGTGAGGACTCCTCAGCCAATCAGTCCTCTAATTAGTAATCTAATTAGGGAGCTGCAGCGAAAACCCGCATACACAACGGCCCTTTCTGGATAAGATTGGCCACCCCTGTCCTATAGGGTCCCGGGGACTCCGGAGCCTATGCCTTAACTTCAAAGTAATTCAATTTTGCCTTTTAACTAATCAGTGAGACACCAAAGAAAGATCAGCCTCTGACCTTGTCCAGCAGATTTTGTCAATCAGCTCCCTCATTGTCATGTTGTCCCATTCCTCTGCATGAGAACAGGTCCATGGGGCTTCGGCAGGGATCTGGGACAAGAGGAATTCTGGGTAATGACTCCACAATCATTAGCATCAGTCACCAGCATTTATTTATTTAATTTTCCTGATGTGAAGCTATTATCATTAAAATTGGGCATAGTAAACTATGTTTTATTGCTTTAATAACAGCAGCATCCAGATTTGATTTATAAAGGCAGTCAGGCAACGTATTAGACCCATAAACACATCACATTGACGAGGGGCGATGCATTTAACCATGATCATATATTTCAATAAAATGATCAGTGCATGAAGTTGTAATTTGTTTGCAGATTTTATTTATTTATTTCATTTGCGTGCTCTCTGGTAATCGGCAGCACCTGTCTTCCCAGGGAGTCCAGGGTTCTCCAAAGGTTGTTATAATCCAGGTACACCAGGAGGTTCCACGCCGGTGGGAAGGGACCGCGGAAGGGGTGAGCCTTACCCTGACACAAAATAGTAAATAGTGAAAACATCGGCAATAGTTTTGTGCCATGAAACACGCCTTTAAAATAAGGGAAAGACAAATCATTATATTAACTCAGAAATCAATAATAATCCGCTTAATAACCTTTGCAATAAGTAACTTGCGATTTGACCTATTGGGAATCCAGCTAAACTGAAATGACAGCATGCCCACGGGCCTTCTGGTATCTATAGCAACAGAGCATAGTGCCAAGGAGATTTAATAACAAGGGGAACGAACAACTGTTCCAGACAATGCTGTATCTGACAAGGTAAATAGGGGATGTGGCCTTTTTGTGGTTATTAAAAATGACAAAGAAATTAATTGGTAATAGTAAAACAGGAGCATTTAAACACAGTGATTGTCAAAGGTTTACTCAAGCTGCTGTTGCTGGTCATTGTGTAACCATAAGATTCTACAAGGTGTACTGTTAAGATAAATTGATGAGCATACATTTTAATGGTAACACTCCATAAAGGAACATTAGGTGTGGTACTACAATTTATATGATGGTAATGCTTTATTTGACGGGGCACAAATGATATTAGTTAACAAGTTAATATTATTAACAAGTATTATGCTTTTACTTATGTATTAATTAACCAAGTCTTAGTTACTTACCGATCTCATGTTAATTCATTATTAATGAATCGTGATGCCTGTTCTCTCAAGCAGTTACTATATTTGTTACTATATGTAATTCTATAAACCTTTGTGAACTACTGAAGGAACTACTGAATGAACAAGTCATGAATAACACAAGTGAAATACTGATCTCATGTTTGTTCATCATTAATGAATCGCGATGCATATTTTATATCAAGTAGCAACTATATTTATTCATGATTTGTACTTTAGTAGTAACTGAGTTATTACTAAGTATTTGTGCCTCATTAAGTAAAGTGTTACTCATGTCATGCAGCAATATTTCATTGTGATCCAGTACAATTCAGTAATTCATTGTGTCGAATGGAACCCGGGCAGGTACTGTACTTTACCTTAGTATAATGAACAAGGTGCTCCGTTTCATTTACCATGTAGGTTTTCACCCCTAACTCTCTCGCAAGTCTAAGGATGCAGTTTTGGGTGGGGCCGATATAAGCACCTCCAAGGTCTACGTAATTGAATTTCGATCCCTTAAAGAATAAGAGTAGTGTAAATAATCAAAACAGAAAAACATGATAACATACACCAGTGGAAAAAAATTAAGAGACCATGGGACAATTTTTTGTTTGATTCATTTCTCAAATTCTGGGTGTGTGTCTATGAATGATACTTTTTTTTGCAAATTGCAGCCTGATTCTTCTCCGTTTCTCACTGATGAAGGGCTTCTTCCTTGCTTTATGGGACTTCAGTCCTGCTTCTAGGAGCCCGATACACACTGTCCTAGCAGTGCACTTCACAACTGCACTTAATGTTTCCCATTCCTTTTGAAGATCACTTGATGTCATCCTCTGATTCATGAGAAACTGTCGGATAAGTTAACGGTCATCTCCGTCTTTAAAATGTCGCTTCCGCCCTTTACCTGGCTGGTTTCTGGTCCTTCCCAGTGTCTCCTGCTTCACCTAATTCTTGTGTACTGCTGTCTTAGAAATTTTGATCCTAGAAGCAACCTGCTGCTCAGCGTAACCTTCTGTCAGCAGAACTATGATTTAACCAGGATTTAAAAATGCAGATTTGTTTAAAAATATAGAGTGGTCTCTAAATTTTTACCGTGGCTATATACTGTAACAATGGTATGGCATGTCACTCTGGATTAGAAGGTCCAGTGATGATATAGGTTCTCCTGGATGAGATTGTGGTGTCTGTGACAGTGTTGGCCCTATACCCCTGAGACTGATGCAGGGATACTTACTGTCACAGTATAGGTCCGACCCCCGACTCGATCCCGTGCTTCCAAGACTACCACAGTCAAACCAGACTCTTTAAGCAGCTTGGCTGCACTCAGACCTTCAAAAGGAAGAACAAGATGGAGTCAAGACATGGCTGAGGTATGAACCTCGAGGATAATTGGACAAATAACATTGTCCTTGCCAAGAATAAATGGTTACTCTCCCATTCAGCAAGATAATGTTCAGTGAAGTAGCTCATTATATTCATTAAATGTATATGAAACAACATACACTCTTACAGTACTGTTCACATTTAATAAACTGTCCCTGCAAGCATAATCTTGATAAAATTTAATAATATGCAACAGAGCACATAGAACAGCATGTTCTCTCCTGTTCCCTTTCCCCCCTAATCTCTGTTTTCTCTGCTTTCTCACCTCCGATTCCAGCATGACCACACTGCATGCTGAGATATCATTCAATAACCTGTAATGAAGACTCGTCTGTCAGGAAATTGTCCCTTGCTTGCCAAATACTGACAGCCGTACCATGACGTACTCTAGCCATTGAAAAGGGCAGGTTGACAGGAGGGTTTCTACGAGATTTCAGGGATGATAAATCGGAGGTAATTTCTGCTAGCGCTTCTTCTAAACAGCTATTCATGTATTCATGGGTTTTCCCTTAGGCGGCATGCAACGTACAGTCGTGTCTGTTTGAATGTGTATTCTTTCCATACTAACTGATGATGCAGCCCCTAATCTGTCTAGGGTTTCTGTATTCCATTTGTGATATTAAGTATAGAGAAAATATTCTTTAATTTGATTAAAATTCACCTCTGGGTGGAGTTTGCATGTTCTCCCCATATCGCCTGGGTTACCTTCCACGATACGGTGATATGAAGTTAGGATAATTGATGTGTGACTGCGCGCATGTATATGTCATATGTGTTGGATGGCTGGGCAGGTGGATGGAAGGAAGGATGCATAGATGGATGAATTTAAATAAATCAAATATCACCCCAGCTAAACAGAACACAGGCTACCATGTGTAAACATAGGATGATCCTTGGTAAGTCAATAAGATGCTGCTAGCAAAGTAAAGATAAATTTAATTATATAATAAAATAATCTGCACCTACAAATCCTTGATGCAAATGCAAACTGAAGACATGATTAGACAATAATAAACATTAAACATATTGCAGGATAAATTAGCAAAACAGGTCGAAAGAAACTTCCTACCTGACAAACCTCCGCCGAGCACGATGACGTCTGCTTTCTGACCTTCAGCCTCCTGGTTTCCATCCATGTTCGCCCTAAAAGCAACAGGAAATGGCTCCGGCGGAGTGAGACGCTACAGGTCTGCCTGCGAACGTGATCTCCCCCCGCTCACCGCTGTGCTCTGTGCAAACACCGACCCTGGAGAGGAGGAGCTAATCGCTCTTACGTTGTTAAGGAGACATCTGGCCGGCCTGCCGTCAGCCGGGGCCTGAGCTGCTCCGGCCTGCTCCCCACCTTGCAGCCTCGCTCACACGACACATGATGCCATTTCATGAAATATGGATTAAATGCAGGTAAACACAGACTGCATGCGGTGATGGTGTTTATTGGATAGAAAGCCATTGTAGTGAAACAAATCAAGAAAAAAAATGGGGGGCAGTTTTGCTTTGTGGAGCATCTGATTGTCAGGAATATATGTTTATATTTTTTAATGATAACACCATTATCTAGGTATGATATGAGTGACCTATATTTGTTGTGTTTGGTAGATTAATGCAGAAACACAGCCTTTGTAGAGTATATGTGAAATATGGTTCTTATATCAGAGTTCACTTACAGTTGAGGAACCATATAAACACACACACACACAAACACACATATATATATGTATATATAAAAGCCTTCCGCATTGAGTGCATGGTATAGAACTATATAAGGTAATATGGTTTTCGGCAAATGTACATAGAACACTTACTGTAAGTATCCATCTATCTTCCATAGCATCCAGTATAATATCATTATTCAGCGACAGCAGTTTGCGTAGCCACATGTTGCAGGGTTGCAGGAGGAAGCCACTGCACACAAACAAAGGGAGACCAAACATGGCTGGGGGCGGGAGTTACACCCCCGGGCTACGCTACTCCACTGCGCCACAATACATTAAATCATGAAACCTGAAGAGCCTCGTTCAGGGAACACAAATCTCAAAAACGGTACATGTGACAATTTGGGGCTCCCTCCAGATATCTGTGGCTTGTAGATTACTGCCATCCTGCCCAACCCTACTGCATTAAAACATGTAAGTCTATCTGCCATTACTACTTACCCAGTATGGGGTCACAGTGAGCCTGGAGTCTATTCCAAGCAGCATAATTAAACATCATTCAATACCTGGCCAGATGGGCGTCTGTAGGTCTACATTTCAGCTAATCATCTTGGCTGAATTTGCCAAATTAGTTCATTGTCATTACAATTTATAATGACATCAAGGCCAGGCAAGGGAAGGACCAATGTCCAGGGGCAGGAGATGTAGAGATACACTCATGGTCCTGGATGTCTGATGAGCAGAAACAAAGGGGACGGACAGGGCTTGGAAACTGCACTCACACCTGGCATTGGACACGAGGAGTGTGGTCACAAAGCCACCATCGCACAATTTACATTTATTTATCGGGTGTGTTTATCCAAAGTGACATGCAACTAAGAAAGAAAAAGGGTCAGTCAGTCCCTAGAGCAAGTGACGTTAGGGGCCTTGTTGAGGCGCCGGACAGTGACATCACTCATCCGCTTACAGGTGCAGCATCAGGATCCACTGAGCCACACACCTCCCACACAAAAGACCCCAAAACCATTTGACTTATTCCCTTGTACCCCAGTGCAGTCATAACAAACAAACTCCAGCCTGTGTCGTCCTGTCAGAGCTTAATCTGTGCCATCTTAGGTAATTCAATTTGACTCAAAAACAGGCATTATTTTCGAGCAAGTCTGGCTTCTAGTTTGGCTTCTTCGCTCCCAGGTTTACCGGTAATACACAACCGCTCCTTCGCGAAACAGTGATTGATTTCAGGCACATGTTCCTAAGTAAGTACACTTTTTTCTTTTCATTTTTTTGCTTTGCTGCTGGAGTCACATTTCACCCCAAGGCATCTGTGCAGGTAGCCATTGGATACAGTGCATTCAATGGAAGGCCATTAAGCAAATGAATAAAGAGAGCCAAGACTACACGGTGATCCACTCCAAGCGGACACCATAATCCTATTTGTGCCATGTCCTAATCCACTTACGCAGCCTTCAACAAAGCCATAGGCCCATCTTTTTACCCTATGATTTGGCACCAGTGCTTTAAATCCAATTAGATGGCGGTTCATGGGAAAGCGGAACATTTTACCCTTCGCTGTTAATGTTGGATGGAACGTGTAAAACAAATGTTCCTCAGTGTATTTCCCTCACCGGATTATAGTAACACTTCATTTCTACATGTGACCTCATTGCTATAATCTGTATTTGCATATATAAACAAATGTATCCGTTTTCCTGTTTAAAATCATTCATCATCCAACCTCTTTTCCAATACACAGCCGTGGGGGGTGGAGGCCATCACAGGGCACCAGCACAGGGCATATTTACACCCTGGATAAGATACTGGGCCATTGGAGGAAGTATGTAGGCAGTTTACAGGAAGTTGTGGCCCTTTCAAGGACAAGTGGAGAAAGCTCTTGTTCCTCATCCCATGCTAAAGCAGCAGAGAGGGCTGAGGTGATCTCAGTGGACCCTCAATGCTATCGTGATGTGAAATATGAGGACACATTTATTGTGTGAGCAGAGAATGTAAAGTGTAAGGGAGACAACTGTCACATTTTTTTTTATTTTCATTTTTTTAGCAAAATGAAAAAGCATTTTTCCATTCATAGAAAAGTTGTACTAGTCTGTGGTGTCTGGCGATCTAAGTCATGTAGGAAGATTACCGTGTCCCTTCAAACAACTGATCCCATTCAACAATTGTCCCGCTCCCATCTGTGTATGGGATTAAATCGGTGTTTCCCAATCCGGTCTTCAGGGACCCACATGTTTCTGCTCCCTCTGAGATCACTGCCAGACAGCCCAAAGTTTTGCTTGAGCTAGGAGGGAGCAAAAATGTGAACTTTCTGTGGGTCCCTGGGGACCGGATTGGGAAACACTGGATTAGATGATTGCTGTTCATAGAGGCCCCTTCCTCTCTGTAATTGCTGGCAGGTGCTCTCTCTCTCTCTCTCTCTTATCTAAAATTATATATATATATATATTTTATTGTATTACCTTAAAATCACCCAAGCCTAGCCAACACTCTCCCATTCCGGATGTCCCTCATCCTCGTCCATGAAATCAGTATGCCTAATTTGGGATGTCTCCCAAATGTCACCCCAAAATATTCATGCACGTCACGTCAGATTTATGTTTTTCACTTCACTGTACCAACCTGTGCCATTCGCCCTACAGAACACGTTAAATGCAATGATCAGTAATCTACTGCAAATTATCCCTCAGGCCATCCATCTTCCAGTCAATCCAGTACTGGTTCATTGGATCTACAGTAAGTTAGTTATTCACTATTTTATTAACTCCCTAAAAATCCTTGAATTCTATTTGATTAATATACCACTATTATCCACAGGGTGGCATAGTTTTCTAAAAACGAAGAAAATATTTTGACGGCCCTCACCTGGGTAAGTCTTTTTAAGTACATCGTTATTTAACACAGTTACATTACATGCTGAGGATAACATGCTGCTTTGTCAAACAAGGAACTGCAAAAGCAGAATAGCAGAGTTGCATTGCTATGTAAATTCCCCTGAACCTGTCTGCTGAGTTTCACAATAACCTAGCAGTGAAAAAGCATGTCATTTAAAAAGAACATTGCTGGTGTTTGATGGTGACTCTGTGGGAGGGGGGAGGGGGAGGGGGTGTCAGCTCACACCTGCACCACAGCTTCAAATCCTGTCTGAAAATTGACTGAATGTGATTGTGTGTCTTCTCCCGACGGGACGTTCTCCAAGGCCTACATCAATACGCACATTAAATTTGTGTCTGTTTCATAAACTGCTTCTAGTGCCAATATGTGTATACAAATACAGGATATCCCAGCTGCGAAAAAAATAGATCTTTCCTGAAGTCAGAATAATAGACACATTTACAGTATATTAAATAGACAGTACACACAACACGTCACATTCTGCATTATTGAACATATAGTTAAAGCAATCAAAGTCACTGATGGAAAAAGTATTGAATCTCTATGGTAATGAAAAGAGGGTAAAGGGAGTCACATGCCGTGCTATATAAAAACACACAGACAGTTATAGGTACCGGCTCTGCCTGTGAAATTGTTTGTGTTGTTTGTTAAACAATACTATCTTAATCATTATGGTTTGGATGCAGTGATTATTTTAGTAGCAGGATTTTTTTAGCAGTTTATGAACTCTATATTCTTTTATTCATAGGCTAATACATTGTCTAATGCCTGGTGACACAGTGGGCAGGACTGTTGCCTCACATTTCCATGATGGGTTTTAAGTCCTGCCCCCCCCCCCCCTGTTTGTGCCCAGCTTTGTGCCCACTGCTGCCTGGAATGGCCCCCAGGCCAATAAGCAAGCCTGACCGCGATACAGAAATGCATGGATGCATAAATATTTTTCCTTTAAGAAAAAACTTATTTGCCAGTTACACGCATTCTAGTATCTTTGTGCATAAAATGTAATTAAAATAAAACTATACCATGTAATTGTAAAACAATGTAATTTTAAGTTCTTTGAGTATGCGGCTGGATATTTGACTAACCTCATCATATGTAAATGATTTCTTGAGGCACCTCAAGTATATTATTAAGTTCCTTGGGTACCCTGTTGGATATTCCAGGTGCTTTAAGTTTTTTACTGGGTACATTAATATAGTTTGTTTTCACTGCGCGTTGAATTAGGGAGGCGATTATTGAGTTATAGAAAATCTTCCTTGGCCTAATTTATATCAGCGTTTTGGGGCGCAGTATGATTTCATTCCCTTTCAGTTTCAAAGAAAGACAGCATAAGTATAGATATGATCAAAAGGGCCCGATACAGCTACTGCAATGTTGCTGCTACAGATTTTAAATCCAACGATAAAAATTTCATCGTGCCTTCCTAAGTTCAGGACATTATAAAATATGAAGAACAGATTTTTCTATTAGGCCTACTGACGTTCTGCTGCCTTTAACTTCTTCAGTGGTTAAGCCATTACCTGTCTGTCTTTGGGTAATTTGGTGGTTGACTACCATACCTCTGCCATATCAAGAAAGAGCATTACACAAGACTTTTTTGCGTTCATAGAATTCATTTACAAAATAAAATGTAAATGAAATGCACTTTACTATAGGCATTAAACAATACAGATAAGAACCCACACTACTCCTTCTTCCTATCAATTTTCCCTTCTGTCATTTCCTAATCTGCCTCTTTTTTTCTACCCCATAGTAAGTTTCCACATAAACCACAACTTCATTTTTAGCTGTAAGCTTTGACCTTGCGCCAGCGGCAGAAACCCCTCCAATGACTACATTTAGACAGATTTGTTCAGAATAACAGATCGATATTGGGAGATCCGCAATGAATATTCAGTTTATAATAATATTACTCAGTAGCTGTGTAAATCTATCCCGAAGCGTTGTAAGGGAGTTATACATCGCTTCTGAGGAGATTGCATGGGATTACCGTGGCGCAGATAACCTGGAAACGCGTTCAGATCAAAGGTAAAATATACAGTAATATTAATATTTAAAAAAAACAGTCCTGTTAACTAAGTACTTAATATTAAATTAATGCTGGGTAGATAAAAATGCTACAATGTAAAACGTAAGAATATGTGAAACCTGTGAAACACGATATATGTATTTATATGTACCGAATTAACCTATATTAATATTTGTAGATCTGTCTTCTATTCGTGTTTAACATTCTGTGTCCGTTTTTATAGGAGACAGCTTAATTCCAGGGATGGCTCCGAGCAGTATGCAAAAGCTGTTTACCGAGAATACACAGATGCTACTTTCTCCACGCTTAAGGCCAGACCTTCGTCTAATGGTCAGTATACAGTATATCGAGCCGTCGGAGGGGCATGGATACCGGGATACTTTTTACCTCTGCTGAATAACTCTGATCCGTCCCCCGCCGCTTGGTAACGTCTTCTACCGTGGGGGACCCGTAAAAATGCCTAGACAATGACCTTCGAATGTCCACTAATCTTTTAAGGAAATGTCAAGTTAAAACAATCATAGGAAAAAAATACAAGAATAAAGTCCAAACCAACAAGGAACACAAGTGCCTTAAATAATTTAATCTAAATAGAAAAGCATTTCTTGCAAGTAGCAAAAATATTCAAAACGATATTGCTCGCTTTTCACTCTCATATGCTCCGTTCTTTGCTTATTTGATATATTATGTTTTTGAGTCGGTTTTATCCCGTTTTTAAAAGTTCTAGAAAAAAAGAATTAAATACGCCGTGAACCGTTAAATGAGGGTTCTACGATGTTTGAGATCTAAACGAGTCTACAAAACATCTGGACTCGATGAGTGATGCTGAAACTTTTCTATGTCTGATGAGCGGTGCAAGATTTTTATTGTTTATTGTTTTCACGACAACGCCAAAAGTTATAAAGCACCATTTTAATGTTTTACCTGGAAAGAAATAATGGGTTTTGATGCTTTAACTGGTTTTTAAACGTTTGCTTAGTACCTTAGGTAAACCTCCTGAGGCTAGTGCCATATTGTGAATTTCAATTTTTCCTTTTTTTTAGGTATTCAAGGTCCAACAATAAGAGCTGAAGTCAATGACAAAGTCGTGGTTCATTTCAAAAATTTTGCATCCCAGTCCTACAGCATAAATCCCATTGGCATATCTTACTGGAAACAATCTGAAGGTAAGATAATTATGATAGTCTCCAAAGTAGTTGTAGAGAAATTAAAGAGGGTATATTAATCAGCTAAAGACAATTATAATATTACTCACAAAAAGATGCAGATTTGAAAGAATTATATAACGTACAACCACATTTTCTGTGACTTACGTTTTTCCAAACCCTTAAAAACCCTTATTTGTAGTGAACTTATTCTTCATGATCCTCTACTAACTGAATGTGTAAATTCTGCAGGAGTTGGGTACGATGATGCCACATCTGCCCAAGAGAAAGAAGACGATGCTGTTGTCCCTGGTGGTTATTACCGCTACGTTTGGGACATCCTGCCATCTGATGGTCCCACTACAACGGATCCAGATTGTCTCACTTACTCATACTCCTCCCAGGTCGACGTGGTCCGAGACGTTAACTCTGGTCTCATCGGTGCTTTTCTCATCTGTAAAGCAGGTCAGACATACAGATTGCCTTCATGCTTGCTGCATCCACTGTGCCACATAGAAACTTTAACTCTAGCCTTCATATCACCATGCAGGTTCTCTTACAAGTGATGGCTATCAAAAAATCCCAGAGTACATCCTACTTTTTGCTGTGTTTGATGAATCGAGGAGCTGGTACGGGGAATCGGGAATGTCACTGGAAAGATTCCAGAAGACCAGACAAAAAAAATTGTATCACACCATCAATGGATACGTCAACTCAACCTTACCAGGTCTACCCTTCCTTTACGTTAAAAGCAATCTGCACATTTGATCACTGTTACCTTTACAGTAAATATAATAATGTTTATTAACAATGGAATGCTTGTCATGCTCTTATTTCCACCACTGTTTTTATAAAGATGACTTGTGATCTCTTTAGGTCTGAAGATTTGTCAGAAGAGCAATGTGTTCTGGCACTTGATTGGAATGGGTTCCTCTTCAGAAATCCACTCCATATATTTCCAGGAACACACACTACAAGTGAAAAACCATAGAAAGGTCTTTCTGGAAATGACGCCCATGACTTTCGTCACAGCAGAGATGAAGCCTGTGGGTGTTGGGAATTATATAATCTCTTGTCAGATCCACTCTCACCAGCTAGGTAAGAAGCATTCTGTCAGTCTATCCAACTTTGACAATAAATTAATAAACTAGCTACACATTTTTGAGAATTTTTTTTACAAATCTGATTCGAATCAATTAATATGCACTGCAGATTTCACAAACCTACAAAATGTGTCTCTTATTTCAACAAAAACTACTTTACCCATTATTTAGAAGCTATTGGATAGAGAGAATATTGCAACTACAGCGTATATGATCATTTATTAATCTATGACGTCTCATTCCAGCTGGCATGAATGCTCAGTTTACCGTCGAGGACTGCCCTGAAGCAGCACAGATTTCCAAAAAGTCTAATTTTATACAATCAGATGACTATGAGTATGATATATCCTTGGAGGGTTTAGTGTCCCCCATACTGATTAATTCTGGCCTGACCCCACGTTCTGCGGTAAAACTCAAACCCAAGACATGGGTGCATTACATTGCTGCCGAAGAGATTGTTTGGGACTATGCGCCGGAGCTCAGCGAAGCCGACAGGTAACGACAGCAGAGGAAAATCATTCATGCGCAACGCTGTTAGTTTCATAATGTGGCCCACTAATGTTGTCATTGCGTTTCAGAACTTCAGACTACACAGTTCGGACTCCCCAGCGTATTGGCAAAGAATACAAGAAGGCCGCATATGTCGAATACACTGATGCAAGTTTCCGGCAGCAAAAAACACCAAATGGTGGTTTGCTGGGGCCTGTGTTACGAGGAGAGGTGGATGACAAAATTAAGGTGACACAACGAAGGAACAGCTGGTGAAATATTTAGGCGTTTTGAGATGAAGATTGCATGGGAAATGGGACTCTCCGGAGTGAATCAAAAGAACAGGGAAATCTCTGTAATATCCTCAGTCAGTTGTCTTTTCCTCAGTCGTCCTTGCAGGCGCTTACGTTAGCCTCTCTGTTTTGTTTATAAGGGAAGCACAAGACACAGGGGTCTAATGAAAGCCAAACATCTGACCTTAATTTGGATGTATTATATAAGTGGCTGGTAGCAATTAGTCAGTGTGACAAACACCATGCCTCCCGCCCGTATAGTATTCAATCATTATGATTATATATTTTTTATTTTCAGAATATTGCATTTCTGACCCTTAATTTCATTGCCTCTAGCTCCCATCTTATTCCTTAATTGAGTTTTTGGATTTTTTACTGCTTCAGCTTATTGCTATTTTAGTTTTTACTATCATCTCTCTTCTCTGTTTTAACTGCTCTATTACTGTGTAGCATATTGGGTGTGAGAAATGGTCCGCAAATAAATTATTATTATTAATATCATTATACATTGCAGAAAGGTTTTCAAAAATTATTTACATTTTTTAGATGACAAATGGACTTTGCTGCAGCCTGATGTTGTTCATTTTGAACATGCACTATTGCAATTTTTTTTTAGTTTTTGTTTTCTTCTCACTGCTCAATCAGGTTGTATTCAAAAACCTGGCGAGTGTACCTTTCAACATTTACCCTAACGGACTTACCAGCATCTCCCCATTTGGAAGCCGAGCTAATGGTAAGGTCGCCTGAATCGATATCGAGTAGGTTTTTGAAGCTGTGGAACACAGCAATCGCTGGTGTTATCAGCCGACTTACTTGCACGTCTGCATCTGCAGTGAAAGACCTAAGGAACTATCCCGTGATGCCAAACGATACGTTTGTGTATATATGGAGGATCACAACAGAGGATGGACCCACTAAGGCTGATCCGCGATGCCTCACCCGTCTCTACAAGAGCACCATCAACCCCGTCCGCGACCTGGCCACAGGCCTCGTTGGTCCACTGGTTGTGTGCTACAGGAAGACACTGGACAAAAGAGGCAATGTGGTAGGAAGCAGTACATACATCCAAGATCCAGAACGTCCGTACCGCAGTAAAGGCCTTCTTCTCCACTCTTACTCATTTTTATGTGATCTTCATGACATACTTTTTGTCCCAGTTAATGTCAGACAAAGAGAAGCACTTGATGTTCACGGTTTTTGATGAAAACCAAAGCTGGTATATAGATGAAAACATTCAAAAGTATGTCGAAGATCCATCCAAAGTGGATCCCACTGATCCTAATTTCTACAGATCCAACGTAATGTACAGTAAGTACGTGTAGAGTCACATTCCAGTCATTTGTCAGATATAAGCTTCCCAAGCATTTTACTTACGTCGAGTTTCTGCCACAGATGTCAATGGCCTCATGTTCAACAACCTGAACTTCGTCACCTGTCTGGGAGACGTCACCTTCTGGCATGTGCTGAATGTGGGCACCCAGAGTGACTTCCTGTCAGTGTACTTCATGGGAAACACCTTTGAACGAGACAAAGTATATGAAACAGTTCTCACTCTCTTTCCTATGAATGGAGAGACAGTCAGTATGGAAATGGAGACTGTGGGTAAGATCACTGAATTTACTTTTTAATTGATTTGGGTCTATGCAGAACTGTATATGTTAAATTAGGAGGTCAACTTGGTAAAAAAAAATAAACTGCTGATGCGATTGATAAGATCATAGCTGTCAAGTCTCCCGTTTTGGCCGGGAAACTACCGTATTTTACCCCTCTTTCCCGCCGTCCTCCCGTATTAGTATTTTCCCGTAAATCTCCCGTATTATAATATCATTTAAAAAAATTCCTCTGCCTCTCCAAACTGAACTGCCAGTAGCCTCGCGAGAACTGCCATCTGAAGTAGTCTGCAAGTCATTTACAACATTAACCAGGCCATAAATGCGGAGATTAAAATGGCAATGCTGTGTGCGGAAAAACAACGTCACTTTCACCTTCTGTGACGACTTTACATTTACATTTACATTTACATTTACATCATTTGGCAAGAGCCAGAGCGACTTACATAAGTGCTTTAAGACTCTACAATGAATTTTTCCCAATACTAGCTCAATAAAACCAAGGCTATGAATACCATCGATCTAATACTCTGTTGGAAAAGTGCTTTTTTTTTTTTTTTTTTTTTTAAAGGAATGCCAGAAATGCTAATTCAGGTATTTCTGGAAAAGGTGTGTTTTAAGTCGTCTTTTGAAGACATTCAGTGACTCAGCTGTTCAGACATCTAGGGGGAGTTCATTCCACCAAGAGCAGAGAAGAGCCGAGAGGTGTGTCTTCCTTGTGCCTTGAGGGGTGGTGGGACCAGTCGAGCAGTGCTGGAGGATCGGAGAGATCGTGGTGCAGTGCGGGGTGTGATGAGGTCTTTTAGGTAGGATGGAGCCAGATCATTTTTGGCTTTGTATGCGAGCATCAGTGTTTTGAATCTGATGCGGGCAGCCACAGGAAGCCAGTGTAGGGAGCGCAGCAAAGGAGTGGTGTGGGAGAACTTGGGAAGGTTGAAAACAAGTCGAGCAGCTCTATGTTGATTTAGTGGGAGCGGCCGAATGACTCTCAGTGGTAAACCCGCTAGAAGCGAGTTGCAGTAGTCAAGGCGG